CACCCAAAGGTGACCTCAGGTTCCGGAAACCCGTTCCCACCGACAGTTGGTCTCAACCATTGGTGGCCGACAAGTGGCCCAACCCATGCCATCAGCCGCCACTACTGGTGCCGTTCATGCAAAACAAAAACCTCAGCGAAGACTGCCTTTACCTAAACATATGGGCGCCGACTGCTACTACCATGAGGTCAGGGGTCACCGGACGTAAAGCTAGCAAACGGAGGTCAACAACGAGTGGACGTAAGACTAGTCGTGTCAGTAAACGTCAGTCAGCGGGACTTAAGCCGGTTATGTTTTACGCCCACGGGGGCGGGTTCACTGTGGGCTCATCCAATGAACTACACTATAGAGGCGAAGCGTTGGCCACGTATGGGGACGTAATTGTGGTTAACTTTAACTATCGGTAAGTAATTCAGTGGAAATTTATCTTTAAAATTATAATTTAAATTAAATTATTTTAATCTATCAATAGATTAAATACATTTGGATTTCTATATACGGGAACGGATGACGGGCCCGGAAATGTGGGTCTCTGGGACCACGCGCTGGCACTGGAGTGGGTGCACAAAAATATCAAAAACTTTGGCGGTGACCCTGATAGGATTACTATATTCGGCGAGAGTGCCGGCGGTAGTACAGTGAGTGCGCTCATCCTATCGCCCATAACTCGCAATCTATTCAAAAACGCTATAATGATGTCGGGGTCGGCGTTGGGCGCGCAGACCGGTAGTGCCGATCAGATGATACAGTATTGGCTTCAAGTGTCCAAATCAGTAGATTGTGTCGACACCACATCGCCCGACAAATTCACGCCTGAAGTCATCGATTGTCTGAAAAGCAAAGATCCGCAAACATTGGCTACATATGGATCGTCACCGGTATTTAAAACGGGTGATGGTCTCAAACAGGTGGGCTTTTATGTAGCGGATGGGGAATTCCTACCGAAAAGGCCGTACGAAATGCTTACATCCGGCGATTTCCGCAAAGACTTAAACCTAATGATAGGCAACTGCGAGGACGAGGGCGCCAATTTACTGCAGGTGTTTGCTATACCTCTGGGTGAGGATCCCAAGAAGTATGACTACCGTAACCCCACGTCCATTACGTACGCCGAGGCCTACAATACCACTAAAAATCTATTCTCGATATTGGATATAAAGCCGCGATTTAATGGCGAAGATGTGGCCAAACTGTACTTCACTGGTCTGTCCGCTAAGTCGGATCAGGATGTGGTCAGACGTAGCATTGGTTACGCTTTCGGCGATTATGTCATCACATGTCCGACCATTTCGTTTGCGAAGAGTCTGTACAAAAAGGATCCAAAGAGTAATGTCTATCAGTACTACTTTAATAGTAAAATAGGCGATTGGAACCCATTTTGTGGGCCATGGATGGGGGTGTGTCACGGCAGTGATGTTGACCATGTGTTTGGCATACCATTCCTCGACACCAAGCGATTTCTCGATAGGGAACGGGAGATATCGCAGCAAATGATGAATATTTTCGCAACTTTTGCCAGAACTGGGTTCGTATTAATTACTTGATAATTAAATATTAATTTGTAATAATAATTATTAATTTACTTTATAGTAAACCCCCGGCGCAGGGAGGCTTTGATTGGCCCCAGTATTACACAATTAATGGCAATACTGTTGCCCCGTATTATGAAGTGACAAATTACCCGAATAACATCACAAATTTTAATCTCGATCTTAAGTATACTGATTGCGAGGACCTATTTAAACCTTATGTCGAAAATTGAAAAGATTTTATATAAACGTGTGTTTATTGCCATATTTTTGTCATTTATTCACTTAACTTATAAATATTGAAATAAAATATTTAAACTAACCATGAGTAATATTCTATATTCTGAACTACAATAAATGCATGTAGTTATTTCTAATTTGGTCTAAATAGTGTGTCAATTATTTCTGGTTTGCTTCATGTTTACT